AGTTTTGCATTTGAAACCCTTGCTTTTTGGCCATTAGGCATCACGGACCCCTCGATGAAGTAATTTGATGCAGTTTCAGGCATCCTAACACCATGCTAGGGATCCTAAGGACAGATATTGTGATGCATGTCTGTAATCCCAGCTCTTTGGGAGCCAAATGTTACAGTCTCAGCCTGGACCTGGGCAAAACCAGAATTGTAACACTAAAATAAACTAAAGGAAAAAAAAAAGGAGGGCTGAGAACATGACTCAAGTGGTTGAAGGCCCTGAGTTCGAACCCTAGTACCACTAAAAAAAAAAGGTAAATGAAAAATAAAGTTATGTATCTAGTATGGCAGAGTATAAACATTCTATCTCTGTCTCTCTCTCTCTCTCACCCCCCCCCCCCACAAATGCATTCTTGACATGCTTTGTTCTGTGTTAGTGACAGAAAATTTCCTCCCAGTGGTTATAGATTTTTCCTCACTGCCAAGAAAACAAAAAGCAAGATTATTACTGACCCAGAAATAGGGAAATGAAAACTCAGAAAAGTGAGGGCTGAGTCCTGATAGAGACATTTCTGAGAGATATTTCTTGAGCCTTTACTTGAAGGGAGGAAGAAAAATGTTAAGGAATGAGATTATATTAGGGACCAAAAATGAATGTTTTGAATTGATTTAAAATTGAAATAAAGTTCACAAAAGAATGCATGTGTCGAAGAAATTTATTTTTACTACCATTATTTCTGGATCAGTGTTTATCAATTTGTTAACAAATAGTTGAAGAAAGATGTGGCAAGACAGGTTAATTCTATAAAGTTTGATTAAAGCAGTTATAGGAATATGTAGGCCGTACCTTGCACATATTTTTCTTACATAAATCTCTTCTGTGTTAGGAAATGGATGAGAGTTTGTTCAGATATTTGCAGGAAGCGTCATTACTTTCCCATTCTCGCCCCTCCTTGCTGAGAATAAAGATGCTTAACCATCTTTATTTTTATCTAATGTCATTTTAGAACAGGTTGGAGATCCTGAAAATAGATGAGATGTACTCTTTTAGATGGTGTCTGTTGTGTCTAATGCTCTATGAAAATACTGAGACAATTATAAAGAATTCAGAACACAGTCAGCTTTTTTGTAAAAATGGTTTTTGTGTGCTTTGTTTACGATGTCTATTTGTTTGGCCTAGGTTTAACTCAAGGAAATAACCTCAAGAGCAAATAGAATTGTTATATAATTCTTGCTCTTCACGAAGCAAAGTAAACAATTATTTCCAGTGGGAGCCACTAAAATGTCCACATACATTTCTGCTAAACTTCGATGAAGGCAGATGAGAGAAAACTCGAGTGCTCATGGAAAGCTGCAGGTGTTGTTGTAGTTGTGTGTATTTGTGTGTGTGTGTGTGTGTGTGTGTGTGTGTGTGTGTGTGTGCGCGCGCACTCGCGCTACTGGGGTCTGAACTCAGGGCTTCATCCTTGCTAGCCAGGTGCTCTAATATAGCCATGCCCCAGCCCAAAGGCAACAGTGTTTCACCAAGATAAAAAAATATGCATTTGAAATATTTATATATTGAATATCTAAATATAAGCATTATATTTAAATACTAATATATTGTTATAACATTTGCATATTTATATATTCAGTATTTATATATTAAATATTTATAAACTGGATATATAGTTATACATGTGTGTTATGCACAGACAAAATATCCCATCCCTATCCCATATCACTATAAAGTATGCAAATTACCAATAGCACCAAGGTTTTTTCAGGTTACACTGCTAACCGTGTCTGAAAAAAACACATCACGTGATGGTAGACTACTTCCATGTTATATATATGTGAGTATTTGATAACTTCTGAATACCTATTCCTTCAGTTTCTCGTGGATGCCATTTCTGATTCTGTGTTGGGCATTTCCCTCTTGCCTTTAGTATTGTCTGGCCATGTGACTGACTTTGGTAAATGAACATAGGAAGCAGCTTCGTCACATCTGGTAGTAAGCAGTAAGAGCATCTGTACACTGTGTCAGAACCTCCTGCTTCTGCCATGGGAACCTCCTCCCAACAAGCAGGGTCAATAGCCTTGCATTCCCGGAGCAAGAGCTCTGGACAGCCCAGGCTGTACCCCCATTCACTTCAGCCGTGAACCTGCACAAGTATTTCGCGTAAAGGAGAAGTCAACCTTTGTGGTTTTAGGGCATTAAGATTTGCAGGTTTGATTGTTACTATAGCACATTTTAGTCTACCCTAGAAAAATGCCATTTTCTTCTTTGTGTTGGGTGTGATAAATAATTGTAAGGATTCTACCTCCCAATATTGCATCATTGTTTATTACTGTCTTTTCCTTGCTCTGTTGACAGTAGTTATTTTTCTTAAATGATTTTTATTACCTTTAGGTAGTTGTACAGAGGGGTTTCAATTCAGTGTAACAATTCATGACTACAGTGCATCTTGATCACTAAACTGACCTCAATTGGGAAACCAAATGTTTTGAAATGGTTCCATGATCATGTCTAGATTTTAAGTAAATTTGTGACATGTACATTGTGAACCTACTTAGTCCTTCATTTTTAGCACATTCATACGTCAGTTGGTGGTTACTTATTAATTTCTATTCTTCACCCTCCTACAGAGAATGTGCAACATTTTTTAAATGAATTCTCATGATGCAAATGAGGGAAATGCTCATGAAGAAGAAAGTAATGGATTTTTGTTGTAAATAGGATGAAAGCAATGAAGAGGATGGGGGTGATGATGATGATGGTGGTGGTAGAAATTCTAAAAACCTGTTCTCTAAGATCATGTCCATTTAGAGTGGCCACAAGCCAGTATGGTTTCTGCTGGTAATGTACTCCCAACAGCTCTGGTGTCTGAAAATCTCCAAGTACACAGTTTAGCAGCGCTCTAGATTTTAAAGTTCTATAGAAATGAAAGGACTGGATAATGTGAAGGCCACTGAAGGATAAGATGGCATCAGTAGAAGAAAGCTCCATGGACACATTTTAGACATTAGTCATTTACTCGGTGCCTTCCTAAGTGAGAATTGTCAAACCTTCACCAACTGACATTCCATTGTCTTTCTATTGTTACTATGCCATATATTTCCATGTTCTGGCATCAGAAAACAGGTTGTAAAGTGAAAATGGCAGTGTCATTATAGATCTGAGTATCTTTAATTATTTTTTATGCCTAGTTTCTGATCATCAGGTGATGAGATTCTGATAATCAAGAGATCAGTTTGGCCATTACAGTCTCCTGAGCTTTCAATGTGTTCTCATAATGTTTCTAAGTTAGTGCTCAAAGAATTTAAGGTAGTCCATTTCTTTCGTACTAATGTTCGAATGCATTCATGTGAAATTGAATTACTGCTGCTGAATCTCAATAGAATACTTTGCAACTCTTGATATGTTCATGAGAAAATACCTTTCAGTCACTGAGGGATCTCTTCCTATTTAGTTTTACATGACACAAACATCTTGAAATGAGTAGTAAAAACTAGCCCAAATCGTAGAAGAGTAAAAATCAGAAATGAAAAATATCAGTGAGAATGAACAATAATTGTTAACATGGTTAACATGTTTGATTCTTATTACTTTGATAGGTATTTATTAAATAAGCATATTTTAGATCAAGAATATATAGAATACATAGTCCAAGAATATATAGTTGAAGTGCTGGGCACCAGTGGCTCACACCTGTAATCCTAGCTACTCAGGAGGCTGAGATCTGAAGTTTATGGTTCAAAGCCAGCCTGGGCAGGAAACTCCATGAGACTTTGGTCTCCAATAAACCACTAGAAAGCCAGAAATGGTGCTGTGGCTCAAGTTGTAGAGTGCTCACCTTGAGCTGAAGAGTGCAGGGACAGCGCCCAAGCCCAGAGTTCAAGCCCACGACCAACGAAAAAACAACAACAACAAAAACATATATATATATGTATGTATATATATATATATATATATATATATATATATATAGTTGAAAAAGCCCTCACATCACAGGTAGTGATAGATATCAATTATTCATGGATGCACGTGAATTTTGATTATAGCCTATGATAAAATTCCTTCCCAGTTAGCTATAAGTGGTAGATATAAAATAGAGACGAAATCAGTTCTTTACTAAGAACTAATGAAAGGACTATTGAGGACTACACAGAAAAAGATATTGGACTTGGAATCTGATATTTAATATAACATTTATCACATGTGTTTAATATTAGAACTAGTGAGGATTTTACCTCCATATCTACAGTAGATCCTTAGAGAACTTTCTTCTGAAAATAAGTTAGGTGGAACTTTTATGATTTGGTTCTTTGGGGTGAAGGGTGTTTAATCTTGGATATTTAAAATATATAAAAATAGTAATTACCAATTGGTACGAATATTGACAATGAATTTCAGTCCGATCCAGGAAAGAACAGTGTCTGTGAACTATTTAGTTGCATGGTGATGGTTATGGATAAGTTTGTGCAATATAATTTCTCACCTTCCAAATGCATCTAATACTTTTCTTCCAGTGAGAGTATGAATAACACATGTGGAATGTGTGGCACATTTAATGGCATGGGGTATGAATAAAGGAATTTTAGGTATTATAATTCCTAAGTAAGCCCAGACCTGACAAGAAGTTGCAGATGCATGTGACCATGTAGAGCATTTGAGAAGTAGAAGAGCTGGGGCTGGAAATGCCTTCTAGTGAAGAACTATAGAAAGTCTGAAGAAGATGAGAAGGTGGCTCTTATAAAGGTCATTATTTGGAAGTTGTCTTGGCAAAATACAAATATCTTTTCATGGGGATACAATTGTTTTTTATTCCAGTTGTTCCTAATTTCAGTGATCATCCAATGTCAGTACTGGATCGTAGCTCTGCTGGGATTACACTCAGTTATCTCATTGCTGAATGTATCCATGTTTTCCTGAAGTGTTTCAGCAACATTCCTGATTGCAGATAACGAATCCTTTTTTCTTTTCCTGTCTCATTATCCTAAATTTGCCTTTGGTCTGTCTGCTTGCTGCAGGTGGAGACCATAGGTGATGCGTACTGTGTCGCCGCGGGACTCCACAGGAAAAGCCTGTGCCACGCCAAGCCCATTGCTCTGATGGCCTTGAAGATGATGGAGCTGTCGGAAGAGGTGCTCACTCCTGATGGAAGACCTATTCAGGTAAGCCAGCAATCTGTGAGCCTTCAGTGTACCTTTCTTGGTATTACTGTAATTCCTAAGTCTAGATGAGTCAGGTGCTTATGAATGAACAGAGAACAACCAGGGACAACTCAGAAACCTAGGAAAACGAGAAATGGGATGTGGTCCAACACAGACGAGGTATGCAGAAGGCAGCTTCCTATACTGAATGTCTATGTCTAGGTGTTGCCCATGAAGCTTGGGAACTGAGTTCTAAGATAGTTTCCTGTGGCAGAACTTGCAGCTCAGAGACACGTAGGAAACTTTGATAACCGTGGACACATCTGGTGTGCTGTGCTCCTTTTGGTACCTGTGAGCCTCTGCATTGTGGGGCTCCAAACATACATTCACTGGGGGACACAGAAGGAATGCACAAATTGTTTTCCTGTTACTGTGAAGAGACACGGGTTGGTCATCTGACACTGAAGTGCTACAGGATCCTGGAATAGGTAAGTCAAAGGAATTCATCTCGAACGGCATCTAAGTGAGAGCGCAGCTGAGGCTGCAGTACATTAGAGGAAAACATTTGATGAATTGGAAAAGTGACTTTTGATTAGTGGGAAAAGGGTAGATGTTTCAGGAAATGGTCTGCAAGACAACTGTCTTTCCACGTGGAAAATAAATTGGAAGTGCTTCTCTACTTGAATCAATCAATAAATCAATCCTAGCTGGGTTTCATGGTGAAAAGCCCACACAATGGGGAAAAATAGATACTATAGTCAATGAATTTTCTGATGGTAAATTAATGTGTGCATGCATATGTTTAGGTGTAATTAATAAATGTAAATTAATGTGTGCATGCATATGTTTATGTGTAATTAGTAAATTTCTATAATCAGTGTATGTAGGGTAGGGAAGGTGATTTTTGTGGACTAAGCCCCAAATTTGCAGATCTCAAAGCAGTGTACATTTTACCACGTCAAAGTGAAAACTTTTCTGTTTGTAAAAGAACACCTAAGGCAGTCAGCAACCCCAAAACCAACAGGTTCTTTCCAGAACATACCACCAAAGTTATCTTTGCTTCATTAATCTTCTCAGTAATCTCATCACTACAAGAGATTAACATTGAGACATAGTGTTTCTGTCTACTGATAGTAGTTTGGCGTACGTCTCAATGTCTATCAATGCCATCGTTGAAGAACACCAGGGATTTTCTTTTTCCTTAAAGATTGCTGGTTAACTGCTATGAGTTGCCTAAGAGGGTTAATTGTTTTATTTCCACTCATACATACTACGTCCCCTGACTCATTGTATCCTGTCCCTCTCTCTCCCTTATTCTTTCTCTCCTCTCCCCTTCCTAAAACAATCTCAGCATTCTCTTTTCATACAGTCCTCTACCGGACTTTGGCCATACTCACTCTCATTCTCCGTCTCCACTGGCCTTCCCTGCACGCCACTGGGTACCCCCCCTTCCAAATGGAGCCTGTTATACTTTCCTGGCATTCATTTTTTCCTGAGTATATTAATTGTACAAAGATGGTTCACCATGGGATTTTACAGGTGCCATGTGTAATACTTCAGGCAGATGGAGGTCTGTTGCTCTCTTATACTGTCTCCCACTTGCACACCTCCTCTCGGTGAGATTCCTTCTACACAGACACAGTGAGTTCCAGTTTTACTTGTTCTTGGTAATTCTCTTTCCTCTTTCACTCCCTTTTGGAAAAGTCCAGTAGTTTCCTTACTGCTGCTTTCGCCAGTGAGGTTCTTGGTACACACAAGATTATCACAGTGGTAATTTTCATGATAGCCTCAACTGTAGATAAGCCACCATACACAATAGAATATGATACATATTTTGTTTCTTTTCAATGTTTTATTATCTTTAGGTAGTTGTACAAAGGACTCGCTGTTGAACAAAGCAGTTTGTGAATACCACGCATCTTGATCGATGCCACCCCTTTTAACATTCTCATCCACCCCTTCTCTCATTCTTTTTAATTTTGTAGGGTACATGTTGATTCTTTGCATTTTCCCCCTTTCTCTTCTTCATTTGTTCATCTCTTTGCCCTTGGCCCCACCCCCATCCCTTTTGACTACCTGCTTTCTTTTACATTGATGAACTTTGACTCTGCCTTTTTTGAGGAATTACACTATTTGAATCCTCCCTTGAGTCTACCACGTTTCCATTAATATATTTGTATATAATTGTAAACCACCCAATGTATGTACTTTCCTCAGTATACCGTGCAGCTACAAAACCTAACCTCAGCTACTGATATTATGTGGATTGCAGGTCAAAAACATGGATTCATCATTGAAGAATTCTATAGTTTGATTCTATTTACTTAAAGTTTGAAAAGACGAAATTGGTTATAAAATGCCATTTGGAGACGTATAAAGGGAGGCAAATCCAGCATAACATGGATCATTTTCCCCCCTTTTATTCATGTGTCTATAACATGTTCATATTTCACAATCTCAAAAAGCAGAGTTTTTTGACTACTTTTGCCAGTGATGAAAATAGCAAAAGATGGAGCATCAAAAAGAAAAATTTAGATTAAGTTCCCTCAGGGTATAATTACTGAAGTATTGAAGTATAGGATTGGCAGTTCATTCACCACCAGAAAAACAAAATCTACAGAAACGCTGTCTCATATCTACTGTGGACTGTAGCCGGCCGAATGATATCACTTCTGAAATCATATAGCTTACCCTTGGAAAGCCTTTTTGTTTGGGATTGTTTTCTTTATTTTGGATTTTACCTGCTAGGAGTTAAAATATTTAAAATTGATGGCAGTATTGTCAAACAAACTTAAATGACCAGAACCAGAAAATCATGTTTTTCTGTGTGGCTCATCAATATTTTCATTTGTGAAATGGAACATGAGCTCTATCTCATGAATCAGATCGTCTTATTAAATCAGAAGAGGAAATGTCCGCACAGAGTTAATCAGATTGCAGAAAGAGAATTCAAAATAATAAAACCACCTTAATAATTTTAGCTTCATTACTAATTTATAGTATTTGCATGGCTTGGGATTCTGTTTTGGCATATTGATTGATTTCGAAATACCCTCTAGCTTGGCGCCATGGGAACATTTCTAAACCTACAGAGAATCTTCCATTATGAAATATGTGGGCATTGTAATAAGTTCATTATGTGGCCAGTTGATTTTCTTACCTCAAATTAGATAAATTTTATGCTGTTCAATATGTAAACTACTTTAGTTGCAATAATAATACCCAAAACCTTTGAAATCAAACTTTCAGGTTTTGTCAGACAAATTATTTTGTCTGGCTTTTATTGACCTCTGGGAACTGGGAGCCACATGAGGCCATTTTAATTGATTGGCAGTGATTTTTTAATGTCTTCAACTCATCAATTGTAAAACTGATGTTTTTAAATTCATGCTTTTACATTTTAATAGTAACCAAGGAATGTAGCATCTCAGTCTATAAACACAGAAGCAAATTATTTGTCAATAGATTCTCTAATGACTCTCAGAATAGTTCTAGACAGTATCCAGAAAGCATTCATAAATGTAGCTATGCAATAAATTAAGAAAAATTAGTTCACAGTGGTTTGAATTGGGGCTGCTTTGAAAAATGAAATAATTTTTTCCACACTTGAGGCATATTCTTCTGGATGAAAATATGGAAATTCTGCTATTACAGCTATACATTTTTATTTTCCCCTAGAGGGAGAAATAGTCAAAAGAGTAAAATTGGATTTCTATTCTTCCTTTCATGAGCTAGCTGTATTGTGATTTCACTAGAAAATGGTATGACTTTGTGCTTTTTAATCTTATAAAGCTAATCTTGCTAAGAATTTCACTGAAGTTTTTAGTGCTTAGAGTTGAACTTATACTAATCTTTAACCACTTTTTGATCATAACAAATATTTCTTATTGTTTGTGTTTTATTCTTTAACAAAATGTCGATGAAGAAAAGGAAACTGGCTTGAGGATTCACTAGAAAATATGATTAAGGGTATGTTAGAAAAGCAAGTGACATTTTCTCCATTTAAGGCTTTTGAAGAATAATGAGTGTATCTAAAAATCTAAGTTTTAATTCTGGGCTTCGGGTTTTTTTTTTTTAGTGTTTTCATAAAATGTCATTGTATACACATAGAAATGCCAAATTCCTTCAGCAATTCAAGGAATAGTACATTTTATATAATGAGGCAATTATAAGGAGAATGTAAAGTAGAATTCAAACACAATGCGTAATCATGTAATACTAATGTGTTTAACCATCTCAATTGCAAATCAGGGAAATGTTAGGATTTGTTTTTGTTCTAACTGCCTAGCTTACAAACAGGAATATTAATGTACAATTTACATGGATTTGTAACACATTAAAATGTTCCTTAAACCTCAACTGCTTCTAATGAGCTTATAGGATTTTTTGAGATTATGAAATGATTATTATTCTCCCAATTAATTTTTTAATTGTTGTTGCTATTTGAAAAAGGAATCTAATGCTAGTTCAAAATTTGAAGGGATTTTCCCTTGGCAAATATTACGGTATTTAATTAACCCCATGGGATTATGGTTTCAGATTGTAGTTAGAAAAGCTAATTATTTGATAAGTTAATTTTTTATGACTCTTTGGTTATTATTTGTTGGTAAAATTCTAATTGGTACCTCAGTATTTTAAGTTTGTTTTCTATTTTTATTGATGCATATAATTTTATAGAGGGGTTTCTTAGTAATATTTTCATGTATGTGTATGACACATTTTGATCAAACATTCCTCCCTCTATTGCTCTTTATTTTCCCCTAACTCCCCTCTGTTGAACAATATTAGTGGGTTTCCTTATACTATGTCCACCTTGACATGTGCATACTTATGTGAGATGCTCTGTATCTAAATCCTACATCTAAGGAGAAAAACTTAAGGGGACAAGAATTACATAGGTGGTACACGAACACACTATCAAGATATAAAGCCACATTAAATGTCTCATGTTTATACATCAGACACATTTTCATTTGCTTTTAATCTCCTAGAGAATGTGTTGCATCTTATTGCAGATTTTG